ATATTTAGATATTTAAATGATGAAATAAATGGTTCTCTAAAACATAGTTTTTAAACTGTTATCATAAATGTTTTATTTTGCATAAAAATCTGCAGTCTAGTAATGACTTTAAAATACCACAATTTCACCTTCGGTTTTCGAGATTTTTTTCCGTTTTCAAGATTATCCATTACGTATGAAACATTCTGTATATTATACACTTGACACATTTTTTTCAATTTCTTAGGCTGATAACAAAATCACTGTCAACAGCTTCGACGTTGATATTCCCGGTAACGATATAGTAGGTGCATGGGATCATGATCTCGCAAATAATCTTATTAGTTCAACGATCAGTATTAAAAGGGACTGTCCAGGTGTATTCGAGGTATCAGTTTAAACTAAATTAAGTATTAATTAATATCGTATCTAATAATCAAAGCTATGGATATTTTAATAACAATTTACTATCATATAATGTAGTATTAATTCTACTTTATTTAATTTTGTAATGAATGCGCAAATAATAATTTTAACTTTAGCTTGACATCAAAGTCTACGAAGGTGAAGCTCAGGTCCAGCAAATGAATCAAAAGTTAAAAAAACCGATCAAAGACATTGAGAACTACAATCTTTGCGCGTCGATCGATGGCCCGGATCCTGAAGATGATCAATGTTCCATTCTCGAAGTAAGAGACCATGTACATACAGGATGGGGCAATAACTTTGTCCACCTTAAATATCACTGAAACTAAACGTACAGTCGAAATCTGTTATAAAAAATGGAGGTTCCTATTTAAAAATAAAAAATTAATTATAATGAATCTTAACGACCGTGATCCAAGGCCTTGGCAATGTTAGCTGTCCCTTTTAAACCCTATAACGTTTGTTTAAAACATTTTTCTCGATGACACAAATTTTCAGTGATATTCGAGATGAACAAAGTTACTGTCCTACTCTGTATAGATGTTTACTATACATTACAATAATCGTATTAATAGCACTAATTCAGCCCTCGTATGAATTCACATACAACATTATTAATGCATATACAATACAAATTGTGGAAATAAAACACAATATAAAAGTTTAATATGGATATACATAAAACAGTGAATTGATCAAGTGTTAATGTGAAAATTTGATCAATAGGGTGAACAGTCAGTAAAAGACTGCGACGTGCGTGACTGGTTCAAAGACATGTCGGCTGGAGATTATAAAGTCGTAGCTACTTTCTCACAAGACGATCAAAATGTTGCCACGATTACGATGAACGTATTAGTGGAAAATGATGGTTAACGATTAAATATTTATTCTCAAATCATATATTCTGAGAGTTACTTAATAGGATGGTCAATAATTATGTATTTAATATTGTAAAAGTAATTTGTCGATGTTTAAATAATAAAACTGAGAGCATGGAAATAGTCGTCACTCATTTTTATGCTATGAACGTTAATAATTATAAATCTATATAATTTATTATTGAAATATTTCAAAGCAATTTTGTTCAAAAGAAAATTATAACGATGTCATTTTAATTTATCATGACCGAAAAATCGTACCGATATTTCTTTATTTAAATACGTCGATAAAATAGTAGTTGCTGTTGCTGCAAACATCTGTACGAAGATGACATCTAGTGTCCCATACCCTAATTTGTTTTAAAATAAAAATCTTGCTATAATTTCGTTAATTATGATATCTCAATCTTTCTTATAAGTTTTTTTTAGAATGACTTCTCAAATGAATCATAGTTTGTCGGGTTAAGTTCATAAATATAGATAATCGTTAGAATTACATTATAGTTTTTCAAATTCCTTAATTTGTGTACATATGTACGTAAATCCAAATATTTATACATACATACGTGTATTATAACAGTAAACGTTAGTTATAAGTAAAAGTAATAAAATACACCCAATAAAATAGCAGACAAAGCTTTTTTATTTTTATTTCATAGTAGTTTTCCTCGTTAAAATCAAAATAAATTATTAGATTTGCGCTAACGAGGACGCGTGCAGTACTTCTGCCTAGATTACGTAATGTCAGGGTGAGAGAGAGAGAAATAAATACGGAAGAGAAAGCTAGACAATGCCATATTTGTAGCCATACGTACGGCCTTGAAAATGTATTACACTATGCATGCGTATAGTGCAGCTGGTGTCGATGGCATACATATGTACATTGCTACACGTGGTACCAAGTCATTGACCTTAGAAATATGTATGTATACTTTCTACTTTCTACTCAACGTGTTCACGTTGATTTGACCTCCTTCGACTTCTTTTTATCTCATATTGTCAGATTCGAATACAAGTTAGACGTGCATCATCTACAATAAATACTTTAAAGTACAGTTCCACAGTTGACGATAGAATTATTCATACTTATTCCAACAATTGTTATTAATTATACATACTAAAAAGCTTGTTATTTAACCATTATAAACGTACATACCAGTCAAAAAAGAGGAACTGTATGCTTGAAATGTTTCTTCTACAACTCTTATTAAAAGTTTTAATAAAATCAATTTTATAATTGTACTATATGTACGATAAATATTATTTAATTCAGAGAATAAATATTTCGGAACATTATATTACATTCACAATATAGAATGAGTGTTTTGTTTGTAATTATGTTTGTAGCTCGTAAGACTGAGAGAGGACAGTGTCGGGCAAAGAAAAAAAGGGTTGATCTAGGTTGCGTACACACAGGTATACGTGTACTGTTTTCTCTTTGCCATTTCGATTTCGGCACGATCACATTTCGAGTCGTTTCTACACAGTCGATGCTGGCACAGCTTAAAACAAGTCGCGTTAAGATTGGTCAAGGTACAGCATCGCTCTAGAGTTGATCGCTTGTTACCTCAGCCCTCGCTCCACCACGCTCCTTTCCACTCGATCGAAATTTCTACCAGGTTCATGTCCCCACCACCGAAATACATATTCGACTCCTTTTCATACGGATGGAATCAAGTTCAATATACCCGCCCACATCCTGAGTTCGAATCAACTTCGATGTCCAAATATTGTTTCACATATTTTAAATCCATCTCGAAGGGACTTTTAACAATTCTCTTTAATGTGCTGAAGGCACTACCTGATTTTCAGTACCAGAATGAGTACAGTACAACATCAATTGTCTGAACTAATTGAGATAAACTCTTTAATCGATTTAAAAAGATGAAAATGATGCATGTCATAAATCAAATAGAAGTTAAATAATCTCTAAATGTGTATGTTTCTTACGCAAAAAGTATATAAATAATTTAGAAATGAAACATTTTTAGATGCTTTCAAGTTGCATATTCTTTCGAAAACAAACGTTTATAAATAATCTATTCCTCTTTCATATTTTGCCTATTGCAATGCAATATTTAGTAATCTTTAGTTTAGTTTCGCTAGGTATTAAGATAATACATGGGCTAGTCGTACATATGTATATGTACTCCCAGATTAATCACAACTCTTACTGTTGGGGATATGAAGGATAAATATTCTGCTATTTTAATGCACATGAAAGAATTCCTGTAACAATGTTGTAAGAAAATTAGAAAATACGAAGTAAGGGGGAGGGCGACCGCGCCCATCGATGCAGGCTTCTTATGTTAGGAGTACACAGACTTGGGAACAAGGCGCCATACATATACTAAAAATGTATGTATGTACAATTCGTCAAGTTGTCTCGCTAATAGACAGCGCGAAGGTCATACTAGCGATGGGGGAGGTCCTAGGACAGCTAAAACGTGTGACCTAAGAGCCATTCTTCGTGTAGACGTCCTAACGACAACTTGACGAATAAACTACAGAGTTTTTCAGCATCACGTTCTTTTAACGCCCATTTTGTAAGAAAATCCAAGGGTATAACACCCTTGAATATGTTTACGACCCCTTATCTCAAGCGGAGACGTTAGGTGACGAGTTCCAGATGCTAGGCACCTAAGCCCGAACGCTTGTTGAGGTATCAACGGGGTGCCTGACTTTCCCTGGGAAAGTGCGCATCGGGAAAATATTCGCCGATCACATGAACAGCAAATGGGGGTGCTTAAAACGCAGACCCTCCCCCATGGGCCTGAGATCAACGATTTTGCTTGAGGACGGACCCACGTTACGACGTGAAGTTCGGAGTTCGAACGTCCTAGTATCGAAAGCGATAGTACTTAAATGAGCCGCGCTGTATTAAATAAACTTTTGTCTACATATCTATCTGCCTTTGTGTCTTACAATTTATTTATTCCTCGTGCGAAACCTTTATTCAAACTTGAATAAACGTTTAATCTTACAATATGTATTATTAGGTGAACCATAGTTCTTTCATAAGATTTGTTGGAAGTAATGTTCTTTTCTCTGTACAACGTAATATGATGTTGCTTATCATTTGTATATAAACAGTCTTACGCTTTTCAGATATTCTAGCGATTGACGCATCATACGTTTATCTGCTGAAAATACGCAGACGCTATTGTATTTATCTAATGAAGTATATTATTTAAGCACAAGCGGTACCAAATCAGGGACAATCTAGATTTTATATGTAAACCGTTTGCATGCACATTTTTATATCGAGTTTATGGTAATTGATATTGAAGACAAAGAATTCGATTTTCTCGGTCAGGTGATTCATTTTCTATGCAGATAAGAAGTGTTTCGAAAAACCAGCGTCCGGATAATAATCGACGTTTTACTATATTTATAAGCTTCTTTTAATGTGTCTGAATGTTTGTGACATAAGACACGTATAACTTCATATAATAAACAAACATTGAACCTCAAGTAATCATAAGAATCAAATATGATGACGATACCACAACTCAAAAAAGCATAGAATTTTTAGAAGCATACTTATATTTTATTAACTGATTCTATTGGAACATCAGGCAGTCTAGTTCGGACAGGTAAGTTCTACTTGTTTAATAAGTTTTACGTACATTATATGAAATATCTGTATATAATATTCGATCGTTCAAACAGAAGTTTGGATTTGTTCAGGAGATACTCCATCCCATCGCTACTGCTCTACCTTCGAACGACTTATCCTCGAGCTCGGGACCGGGACCCACGTCGATCTCACCGCGACCCCGACACTGCGTGTGTTTTGAGCCACGCAAGTCGTGTTGACCCACGTGCCTCGACAATATCGTACATTACGCAAACAGCGTTTCAAGTTTCTTATATATTTTTATACACATAATATCTAATCGATGCGACATACGATTATCTATAAATTCAATCATTTTCGCTAACGTTCAAATTCAATTTGAATGACACCACAATGATTTAAAATACAATTACATTACAATAGAATAATGATTGATGTTCTAATAGAAGATATATGCATTTTATTTATACAAATGTATGTACATGAAAAATAATTGAAAGTTTAACATTGAAAGAAAAATTGTTGTACTAGTTGCACACAATCATTAAAATACTAAACGACATAACGACAATCTTATCTGTGTTCAAGTGTTGCGACGTTCCTGTATTTTATCCTTCAAATGTATTTTAAAATGATCGCCAATTAACGTATTATATAATTTTGTACACACGAGTGTCTGTTCAATTGTTATCTTCGCCGATGTAATTCGATTGCTATACTACCAAATTTCGATTCCTAATTCATGGGATACGTAATGTCCTAAAAATTTTACAGTATAAATAATGCATACGTATATTAAGCAAATATACGCGTTATATATAATAAGCAGGTTTAACAATGACCAATCGCATTATGAAAAAGAGAAGGGGAAGGTGCTTCAAAGTCAAAGAAATTTCTACGTTCCATTCTGTCGACGACAAACACTGCACATTTCTGAAAATGGTTATTTCTTTAATTATTTAATACGATCGCAATTGTAATTGCAATTAAGCAAAAGAGACTCGAAGCTCTGATTCTACCATATTTGTACATATGTATAGTTGCGATCATATTAAATAATTAAATAAATAACCATTTTCAGAAATGTGCGGTGTTTACACAACTTGCTCTAACGTCCAATTTCGTAGGCGTTACAATACCGCGATAAAAGACGCGTTTTAGGGTACGTCGGCCAATACCATTTGACTCGCGTGGAGCTGCTGCCGCAATATAAGTAGAACGGAGTACTATAAATTTTGTCAGGAAATAGAGACAAGAATTGTATTAGCTATAAAAAATTTTATTTATAAATAAGTTTAAATTAATGCACAAATCGTCTATACAACAAATTAAAAATGTATTTTATGTTATATTTTTTAATAGTTCATTTTACATAAGTGAAAAGTCGATTTTATTTTGATTTTTTATAAGAAGATCGTGTTCCCTGATTTGAATACTGTTGATGTGGCTACCGATAGTACCGATGTCGTTGCTACCGTCAGTGCCGTGTTCGATACGACACGAGCACAGCCTCGGGAACACCACCACACGGATAATGTTAACGTAGCCCTGTCGCCGTGCCGCACGCGGCGTCCAATGCCCCGTTCAGAGGCGGTCGTCGAGGTTTCTACCCGGCACACGTGCACCACGCGCACTGGGTCATTGCTCTCCTCCGTTCGAAAGTAATATCGTTACGGCGTAAGACACTTGTTCCTAGCATGATCGCCACGAAATTACGCGCTAATACGTACACTCGAGTGATACATCTCATTGTTCAACTAACAATCGTTATCCAATTCATTTTTACTTATGTCGAACACTTCTGGTTCGAGCAGAATGATAAACTGTACAAATAAATGTTAACTAAAAAGGTATCGATTACAAATGTTTATTAATAACCATAAACTGTATGTGTGTAGTGAAAACATCGAGGTAGCAATAAGCTAACAAATAGACAAAGAAAGTACGCAGTGAGTAATGACGAAAGTTGGAAGGAAGAAAGAGAAAGTACCACGCGGCGATCGCAGATACACAAACACATTCGTATCGACCGGATTTAACCCCTCACAGATTCTGATGTTGGGCGTAGCTATGTACACGTATATATATATATACACATATATTATATAGACTGCCTTTTCTTCGACATTGATGAACGCTCCTTTTCGTTACGTGCCAATATTTTGCGCTTGTACAGATCTGACGTACGTGCGAACATTTGTTTTCGATACATTCGTATGTATTTTACATAGGTACTGTATGATTTTAAAAAAGTAAGCATGGATGACATTATCTCATTATTCTTTCAAATATACGTTAATGTGTCTTGGAAATATGAAAACGTAATAAGTGAGAGATATAGTTTATTTATTACATGCTGTCTTATTCTCGCAAGTCGGAATTGAACCTCCTTCAAAATGATTCTTTTAAATCGCTTACTGACAAGTAAGGGATAGTGTCGGTGTATTCAGTAGCCAATACTGTGTAGTGAGAGTGAGATAGCCTGTACCTAAATATTTCTACCTCCTCTACATCTTTAACGCTTGAGACGCGGCCTCCAGTAGTATTTGCCTTTTTACGACAGACTTGTTGATTAAAATACAAATTATAAAAGGACAAGAAAACAGGAAATTGCATAGAAATTATGCATATCTAAATACTTGTCATTTAATAATCTTAAAACGAGTTCAATTCGATTTCTTAACAAAAACACTGCAATTAAACTTAAGGTAAAGAATGAAGCATACACTTGTATGGTTTTAAAAATAGGCATCGATAATATTATTCTCTCAGTTGCAAGTTTACGACAGACTTGTAGATTCAGGTACAAATTGATTATAAAAGAACAAAAGAATATAAAATTATATAGAAATTCTTATCTATATTTGTCATTTATTTATAGACTGTAGATCATTATGCTAAGTAAATCATTTGGAATATCAATGTAGAAAATGAAACTTAAATGGGAATTTCTTTTGTATTTTAAAAATCATAATATCCATTTCGCTCTTGATATTTTTTGTGTCCTTGGACATTGAATGAATTTTTTAATACTTTCTGTACATCATTGTTCTATAAATTCATAAAATCCGCAATCTATTTATTAATCTTGAGATATGGTGTAATCGATTCCTTAATAATAAGAACCCCGCGAGTAAACTTGACGTAGAGAATGAAGAGAAGATAAGCTTCAACTCGAATTCGTATTTTGATATTGCGCGGCCCCTGATAACGTATCCGTGATTAACGAAGCTTATCGCAACGCGTCGTGGCGTCACGTAGTACGCGTGTGTAAAATTGTGAACGCGTCCCTATAGACCCGGGGATCGGGTATCCACGTCTCCGTCTGTCGGGTGGTGCTCGTCACGCTTGTGCCGGCCGGGGTTGGCTGAAACCCCCGACGACTGCCTCCACGTGCTGCGAAAAGCACTTAGTCGCCCTAAATTGTAGGTCGCCGCCGTCGCTTCAACGGTGGGGGCAACAGAAGTGGTGGGACAGGGTCGAGCGCGTTGCTTCGGCCGTGATCGATGATTTCCGTAGACGCTCGGCATGGCCAGGCGGTAAACATTGCACAGTACGATTGGCCGTGTCCTGAGGCGGGTCCTTTGGTTTTCGAGTTTTTAGTTCCTCTTCGGCGTTCGGTTGTGAGAAGTGTCGAACGTACGCATGATGCGTTAAAGGGAAACGCACGCAATCTTGTTCTGTTGATCGGTTTTCATTTACACCTAATTAGTTTCGTCGATTCTATTGTTTACTGACGAAGGAGAATGAACGTTGGATTTTTTGGCAACGAAAGGAGGGTTTAACGGGAGCCTCGCAGGTGAGTGATTTTGACGTCTTGACGTCATGCATACGTATGTAAGCAATTTAAGCACGAGCAAGTTCACGATCATGGGATATTTGACAGACTCGACGATTTGACAGATAACTGTATTGCTAACAATATAATGTAGCGTACACGCGGACTGGCTCGTATTTCCTTTATTTTCTTTTGCTTGTTTCAAAATGCATGATTCTACTTAAGTCTCATCAAATTTATATTATCAGAAACCACATTTTTCAATACTTTTTCTTTAATCTTGTATCATTCGATTAATATCATTAAGTATCGAGAGAAAACTTATTTTATCCGACAAGAGGTAAAAGCTTCCTTCCTTCCTTCCTATTTAAAAAAAAAAAACAAGAATTCACTGATTCGAAAATCGATGGTTTTCTTGGCCGCGAACTTTGGTCCGGTCATTCGGTAAGCGTCGTTTTCCGCGATCGATCAGAGGCTTTTCCCCCGTTCCGTAAGCTTCGCAAAATTAGGCGGAAAGTACCATGTTCGAACAGAATGTCATCGTCGAGAAAAAAAGAGAAAGAGAGAAGAGAGAATTGCTCAGGAGAGGCGATATGTGACCGCGGTCCGTGATGTAACGCAACGTCCTTACTGCGCGGCGAGTTGCACGAGGTCGGTGATCGGTAGAAAAAAATGCGGTGAGTACACGTGGAGGCAGCGGCGGGCGGTTTCCACCGCGACGCGATACGACGACGCGGTATTGCACCACCGGCGACCATTGCGGCTGCCTCATCGAGAGACACGCGCGTGCAGGTTTAACCCAGCCTTAACCTATTCTGAACCGGCGACCTCGTATAAGAACGTGCGAATGATGTCGAGTTCCCTATGATTGGATTAGATGTTTTTTCGTACCCGTTTCAATTTTTCAGAGTCACGAGTAGACTTGTTCGGGTACTTTAATTAAGGATGTATTGGCTGTACAGTCAATCCCAAAAGTTTATGTACTTTAGAAACGCATTTTTTAAAAAGAAATCAGACGTCGGA